GTATTGAAAAGCAGTGAAAATCTGGTTGGATTGAAAAATTTGTTACTGCTTCGCGATTTCCATCCCTTACTTTCCGCAACCTGTTCTGTGTCAAACACCAACCCAACGCAGCTACGAGCCTGTGAATGTTGTCCGGCGTTCTAGCTGCTAAAGAGCCAAGACCAAAAACAGACCAGGAGGAGTGGATTTTTGAGCTAATGTGCCAGATGGATGCAAACATGATCGCTCGCGTGTACTGAACACATTAGCATTGTGCTGAATGTGTAAACAGGCAACTGTTTGCCAACAAGTTCATCATACAAATGTAATAGCTGAAGCTATGTCACTGTTGGGTTGGCAGCTTGTTTTCTAGGTGCTGGTGACCAAAGGCAGGCTCCTAATCTATCAGTCAGTACAACAACATATAATAAAAGCAGAAATTATACACTGATGAGCCACAACATTATGACCAGTCTGTCTAACATGCTGTCGCTCACCAAAACAGCTCAGTGAGGCATCAATTCTAAGAAATCCTTTTGGAAACGTCACAGTAAGCCGGAACTTAATATCCAACAAATATCATATGCTGTTAGAGCCTAATTAACACCATTTTCTTCCTCTGCGATCGGTCATAATGTTTTGGCTCAGTGATGCTCTTTCAATCATAAAGGACTTGAGAGGAAATTATTGCATGACAGGTAATATAGTGGGCGATGCTATTTTGAATAACTGAAATATGAATGGCCCTCATCAGCATCCTAGATGGCTGTGAAAATTACTTCATCCTCCCTGTGCCAAAAGGCAGCTTAAGACCTCTTTATCAGAGTCATTCAAGCAAAGAGTCAATAAAACACTGCAATTAGGGCTGCTCTTTTAAAATCTGAGACAGTCTAATTGACTGTGTATTCAAGTAGAACCCCAGAATTCCCTTCAGCAAGTTTAATAACATTGATAAGCAGCATAATGCATAATCATAAGCTCAAAGCTGTGGAATACAGAAAGATGTAGTCTCACAGTACAGCTGGATGAGGAGCTTTGTCTTTGACAGTCGGCCTGTGTTTATGGCAGGTCTCTATGTGCAGTTTCATTTATTTCCCTCAAGTGTCTCTTTGAAAACTGGCAATGTTGATCAGGGGCTCAACAGGAGCTTCATAATAACATCTTTATAATGCTCACACCACTTGGTGGTGGAGGGCATGCGGTGAGGAGCCGGGGATAATAATGCAGTACAGCACATCAAACAGAGCCTGGTCAAAAAGCAAAGCACTCAGTATCTCATAGGAGTGAATTTAATGGCCACTGGTTGCTCTGGGCTCTTGACCCTCTCCAAGAGGCTCCATGTTAGTCACTCTCCAGCGCTTTCCAATTGAAACTCAGCCAGACTGGTAGTAGATGAGATTTCAACTGTCTACTCAAAGCCTGGATGACTATACCACTAGCTTCAGCTGGTCATCACACCAGCGGTGCTTGGCTCATAAGACAGTTACTCGTATTTTCAAACTCCTGTCTGCTTATAATTTACATCATATGTTGTCCTCAAATAGTGGTATTGAGAAAAGCTTTGAGGTACGTGTACTTCACTTGAGTACTGAGGTATGTTTCTCAAAGTTCTACTCTACCAGATTTACAGGTGTATTGTACTGGACAGATATTTTTCTGTTTCCCTTCAAGCTGTTTTCTCACATCAACCTTAGACAATCTTGGGAGCATCACATAGGATACAGTTGCTGTTAGTCGCATGTGGCACAAAGCAGGAAATAGTCTGCTTCCAAAGCAATCACACTGCCTGGAATACTGATTTTGGGGAGGAGGCTGCCAAATGTACAACTGTACAGATGTTGAAGTGAAAATTTGACTTCTATGGCCGTATTGTAAGAAGTTATTTCTTTGTGTGAAAAGAGTGTGAAGATGATAAACCTTATGATAAACAGTGTTCAAGGTCATGAGGCACTTTGTGTGTCTTGAAATAATTCTCAGAAAATCAGCTTGTTTTTGATGCTCAATTAATTTTTCCACAATGGAAGCACATGATGTCGGTGCCCTATTTAATATAATGAGCATCTTATTAAGCACAGAAAAGCAGTCTCAGCAAACTAAAATCTAAGTGTATTTGTATGATAGAATGTTGCACTACTCCGGCCACCCAGTGCACTCGCTTAACATTAAAACTCATTTTATAATTGTGAGATAAACATTTGTTTCAACATACCTGCCTGTCAGTGATTCTTTAATACAAACAAACAAAAACAAGGTCTAAAATTTGTTTACATAAAAAAAAAAAAAGATCCTCTTTGCGTGGTGTATTGTTCGTCCTGTTCTGTTCATGCCTACAGAATAGTGCAGTACTAGAGGCCTGCTTGCAGTCATTCACCCAGTGACTGAGGATTTATAATTGTCTTGCGTTCCTGTGCTGCCATCTAGTGAAGAAAAGTGAGAAAGGAGTAAAATGAAGACAGAAACTCACTTTTTCCAAACTTGAAGCTCAGTTAATTTCACCAAATCAGACAAATTGTATACAGGAGATAAAAATCATTACAGGGCAGGTTTACAATAACTTATGTGCAGAGTAACATATGTGCAAACAGAATTTTTTTTTTAGCTGTAGAGCCACAGTAACTAAAGATGCATATATCTGAGTAAACAGATTAAGTTATATGCCAAAACAAGCTTTGGTGACCTATGTATATTCTCTTCTGCATATTTATATAAAAACATGGAAAGCATTTAGCCTGAAGCCTTCACTTCACTCAAGCAGGAACGCTGGTGCTACTGTAGTGATGGCCAAATGAAGCTTTCTGAAGCATTGAAACGCTTCATTACTCGAAGCCTTTCAACAGTCCTCTCTGGTGACATCTGGTGGCCAAAAATATGAAGAGCAGCTTGAATCAACAAAATAAAATGAACTGCTTCATTATGACCTCTATTATGACCGTGTGAAAAAATGGTTATGTTTATTTGTTTAATAAATAATTTTCATCAATAAACTTTCCTTATTTAAACTGTGGTGTGGTCTATCTTTGCTTGTGACTTCTTGATGTTGGTAAATACAATGGATGAAATGGACATGAAAAAAGCATTTAAACTGCATTTCAATGCAAAACAGAGAAAAAAAATATCCCTGGCCAAAATTGGGCAGACAAAGTGCCATTTTAAGTACTTTAAGTACATTTTCAAAATGGTATTGTCTTTAAAAAAGAATAATAATAATAATAATAACAATTTCAACATAAAGTGCAGCTTTTCTTCTTAAAAAATAAGGCAGAAACATAAAAGTTTATTTGACCAGCTTCACCTTTAAACTCTGAGTAACTTTAGCCAACATTATTTTGTATATTAGGCTAAAACACGGTGATCATCAAACATTTTATTGCAAAAAATAACAAACCCATTGGACTCACAATACCTCCATGCTTATTTACTGTCCGTCTCTTTCAGCCAGTTACTTAGACAAACTAGCCTGTTCACATTTTTAGAGCTCAAGGCAGCTCTATTTTTGTTACTATGTGATCTGCAGGTGAGAACAGTCTCTCACGTGGGACAGAAATGGCAGGACTAATGAAATACTTCCGGGCCAGGACAGACAGCTTTGGGTGGGTTGCTGCTTGACTGGAACACCACTGAAGCGTGGAAAGTCTGTCTCACTGATGGATGATTCTGCTCTGTAGAAACTCAGGGCCCTGTTACACAGGGCTTCCTCATCTGAATCACAGTCTGAAGACAATGAAGAGAAGAGGCGGCTCTTTGTGGTGGCATCGTCACACTGTTCCTGCAACAGGGCCTCAAAGCTGGTCCATGGTGTGATGCAGGTGGCAGAAAGCAGGCAGAAAGCTAGCGCTAACAGCTCCCACAGTTTCTGTGCTTGTTGCAACATGTTACGCATTTAGATGATACCGTAAGGTTGAAGTGCTTTGGTGGTATGCAAACTCTTTTTTGCAGTTTGTGGGGTAGTCTTTTTAAATGACATTTGCCTCCGATCAGTCGTAGTAACGTGCTATCTTCTGATTCTTCATTTTTGTAGCTGTAAAATCGTGCATTGACAAAAGTTCCCCTTTGCTTGGAATGCAAAGTGCGATTAAATGCGTTAATTTTTTAACACGTTATTTTTCGAATTAATTGATCACTATTAACACGTCAAATTCCCACCCATAATTATAATAATTGTTTACTCAATGTCCTTGATTCTCCAGTTGCTGTAAAAACCCAGTTTCCTTCGCATGTTCTGCTCCATGGTTTACCATTGACCTCTAAGCATTGAAGGTCAGTCTAGGCCATCTTCTCTTCATAATATACATCCTCCCTCTAGGGAATCAAATTTGATCTTCAGTTTACCTGTTTTGCTAATGACATCTAGTTCTATCTCTCCTGCAGGCCTGATTCCTCCTCCCTCCCACCTTCTTCCCTTGGAGAAGGCCTATCCGAATTAAAATCCTGGTTCAGCTCTAATTTTCTTAAACTCAATGAGGATAAAACTGAAATCCTCCTTATTGGCACTAAATCTAACCTTTAGAAGCCAAATCATTTCTCACTCACTATTGATAACTCCACAGTTTTCCCTTCAACTCAGGTTAAGAGCAGTGGTGTCATCCTAGACAGTTCACTATCCTAGAAATCTCACATCAGTAATCTCACTTGTTCTGCCTATTTCCATCCACATTAACCGATTACGTCCTTCTTTCCACCCAGTCTACGCCCATTCTCGTTACTTCCCGCATTGACTATTGCAATTCTCTTGCATGGTCTCCCCCAAAAATTCCTCCATAAGCTTCAACTGGTTCAAAACTCCAGATTATTACAAGAACCCCCTCCTACCAGCTTACCTTTCTGACCTGTTAAGCACTACCTCTTCTATCCAGCTTGCTGTGCCTTCTTTCCACCTCAGCACTATGGGAAAAAGAGCTTTCAGTTGCTCTGCACCCAGGCTGTGGAACTCTCTAGCCCCAGATGTAAGAAACACTTGTTCTCTCCCTCAGTTTATGTGTTTTATTCTATTGTTAAGTGTGCTTGGGTGTCTTGAAAGGCTCTTTTAAATACATTTTTTTTATTAATATTATTTTTATTATTGCACAACAGCCAGGTGAGGATAAAGGGGAGTGGTCACTGTTGATCTGTTAGCAGCTTTTAGGGTTTTCTGCGCCTGTAACAGAAAACCGAGTGAATCACAATCTGTAGTTATGTATTCTGCTGAAAACAACACTTTACTCAGAGGCAATGCAGAAAGTTGACAGCTTACTTGATGACTGCATGATGCTCCAACCCAGGTCCCAAGTTTGATCCAACCCTCATCGCCACAGCCACAGAGCACTGCGAAGAGGGAAAAGATTAGGACCTAAATCTATTTGCAAGTGTTCTGAATAGCTCAGCCTGATTCTGATACTAGAAGGAGAATTTTTTAATCAGCTTACCCTCGTCTCCACATCAGTCAAAGCTCCATCTCCACTGACTGACACGCCTTCTGAAGACTTCCTCTTCCAACTTCAGAGATTGATACGTAAAAACATTAGCACACCTTCCGCAGCTTGGAATCATATTTAACAACTTAAGAAAATGTAAGACTCAGGAGGCACGTTAGGTAATGTATGTAAAATTATTAACAATATGAACAATACTAGTTTTTTGTTTTTATTTTAAAAAATTCACAGCAGTAGTGAAATAAGATAATCAAAATGTCCGATGCTGTGTCCTGCTGTTATGAATTAAATAGAATAAGAGATGAGTTTTTGCTCAACTGAGCTATCAAGTTGATCTCAGTCAAAGACGTACTCTAGAACAATCCCAGCACAGAAAGCAAACCCTAGTTTTTTTTGTTATCCCGTTATTACAGAGTGAAATATATTTAAACCTCAGCAACACAACGATTATAACATTCCAGAATGGAAATAAACTTGGTGGTTAAGTCTTATTTTCTATTAAGAAGAAGAAAAGTATTATCGGTTTTTTGATAATGTGGCAGTATCCAGAAATCCAGCTCACCATATGGAACATTATATGGTCAGGTAACACATCTAAAAATGTTAAACATTTTTTTAGGGTGCAAATTCAAGACATTTTTATAATTATAAATTATTACCTTGGGACTGTAGTGAGCTCCTGTTTCAGTGTCTCAATGTCAGTGAACTGGACAGCTTGTCCCCCTCCTCTCGTTTTGATGACATCGCCCTAAAGAAAAAAAACAAAAAGAACCACCATTAGATATCTTTGTTATTTAATATTTAATACAGTGCGAAGCCCTTCTTGTGATCAGTAATTCAACCATCACAAGAGTTTCCTTTCTAAGGATAAGCATGCACACTACTACAATCATGCAACAGAACATTGAGAACCACTTTATAGAAATTATTTAAATTCACTTCTTAAAACTGACAAACTTATTCGAGCAAAGTGTAAAACAAACAGTTACAAAACCACACTGACTCAAACTCAAGTTGGCAAATATGCTGCTGGTTTGCTGAAAACTTGCTAATATAAATGTCTGCATGAGTAAGGAAGTGTAACCAAATATATCATTCTGAATATCAGTAATATGCTGTGCTGCATACTTGACCTTTATAAGTTTGGTCTGTATCTCGCCGTCGGAAGCAAATTCTTGGTGCGTTAGCACGTATCTGTCACACTTGGACAAAGCCTTCTCGCTGGGTGCAGACACCTGGATGGCGTTGGGGATGACCGGCTGCAAAACTGTGCCCAAGTCCATGCTAGACGATGGCTTATGGTCCACCCACTTCTCCCCACCAGCAGAGCGGGAACAACAGTGCAGCAGGTGTACTGGTGTTGTCGTCTGAACAGATCAATGGGAAATGATTTAAAAAGGGAAAAATCCCACAAACAGAGTGAACAAAAACACAGAACTTGACAAAGCATTACAAAGCTTGACAAAAGAAATCATAAAACTTGTACATTTTGGGGGGCAGGGTACCCCACACCCTAAACTTGTAGGAGCCAAAATCCTGACACGTCACAACCTCATGCTGCTGCCTTTAGCTAACTCACTGACCCTGTATCTTCTTTCAATTAGGTCTACATGAAACGAAGGGGAAGGGAAGCAGTCTCTCTCATCCACTCTGCTCAAGCACACAGCTCTCCTCCTGGCCCGGCTGACTGAAGTGCCCGTTGAGGCCTGGGGTCTTGTGGGTGTTCTTGTGGGTGTACTAGGGGAACTGTAACCCTGCATGCTGTCCTGAGCTGCCTGCTCCTCACATGCAGATCTAGCCACAGACAAAAAGGTACTTCTGCTGGGGACGGGGCAGGTGGGCCTTGGGTTCGTCTCATCCTCCTCATCACTAGCAGCACTGCCTGACTGTGACTCTGGCTTTGGACTGACATGAGGGGAATCGACTGGGCACTGGAGAGTGAAATGGAAAGACTAAATGGTCACAGTTAGACATGCAAAAATTAGACGTTATAGGAACGGGATACATTCACAGTCTAACGTAGTCAAATGCAGCAACCACTTTATGTAAAGTACAAAGATCATGTTTTTCCCCACACCTGGTGAAAAACATGAACACTGAAATGTATATTTACCTAAGCTGAGCTAAAATGTTCTGTGAGTTGATACAAATTTATCTGCAACATAATTCATTTTACAGTTTGTCTTATTTGATGTAAATTCAGTATCTTTGATTTTTAAAACTATAGATTCAGACCAATAAATTTAGAACAACC